GGATAGAATACACGCGAGCCATGAATCTTGACATAAACATGGGCTATATAGAAAGAGTGAATACAGCGGTAATCGGCGCAAATTTGAGGTGGTGCTTACCTCAACACCCGGTCGTGAACCCAAAGAAACCGTGGAAGGTCGGGGTGGTTTTCGACTGTGCCGCGAAATGTCAGGGTGTGTCGCTCAACGACCACATACTACAGGGCCCAGACTGGACAACACCACTGGTCGAGTTTTTACGTCGTTTTCGGCTAGGAAGAGTGGCCGTCTCTGCGGGCATACGTGAAATGTTACTACAAGTGAAGATGCCCGTTGAAGATATGGACGCCTTTCGTCCTCTCTGGTGGCCTGAAAGCGACGCAAATCCCTCACCGGACGAGTGCAGGCTGACTGTGCATCCCTTTGGGACGGTATCATCCCCTATATGTGCTAATTTTGCCCTCCGGGAAACCCTCAAGCGTTTCGGCGGAACCAGCAATCTGTTAAGAAGAGCAATGGGCCACTTCTTCGTCGACGATTTTCTGTTCCTTTTACGACCCAAATGCTGCTATTCTGTATATGACCGAACTGATCGCCACTCTAATGGCCGGGGGACTCAACCTCACTAAGTGGAACTCAAACAACCAGGAGGTGCTCTATGTTATCCAGAAGTCCCGGAGAATTGAGTGTGCGAGAGCGCTTTTGGGATCCTCTTCACAAATTGAGCGCACGCTTGGAGTTCAATAGAAACCCGAAGGTGACGAATTCACATTCACTCTGAACCTATCCAAACAACCAGCTACACAAAGAGGAATCCTATCATCAGTCTCAAGCCTCTATGATCCCCTAGGTTTCGTTTCTCCATTGTTGTTACCGGGAAAGTGCTTCCTGCAAACGCTATGCCAGAAAGGGACGGGTTGGGACAAACCTCGCAAGGATTACAACGATAACCGATGGCGCGACTGGCTGCGCAGCCTGGGTCGACCTGGCGAGATAAAAATACAAAGATGCTTAGCAGGAATCAAGTGCACAAACGACGCTTTACTCCACATATTTTCTGACGCATCAGAAATAGGCTACGGGATAGTGGCTTACGGCTGCTGAGTAGACGAAAATGGTGGGCGGCACAGTCAGATATCATTCTCAAAGGCGAGAGCGGTTCCACTGGAAACGGCATCCATTTCGAGGCCGGAATAGACGGCGGCAATGCTGGCCGTGAACGCCGCGACACTGGTTGGGAGGTGCTTCGATCGGACAAACTGGGAATCAAACTTTTGGACGGGCTCAGCCACGGTACTGCCTTATATGAACAATATTACCACTCACTTTAACGCCTTCGTGGCCGACAGACTAATTATAATCCATGGGTCGACTAAAACCGATCAATGGCACTATGTACAATCTGCCAGTGACTCTGCCGACTTCTGCTCAAGAGGCCTAGATACACCAGAAAGACTGTGGATGTGGACAGTGGGACCGGACTTCCTAACGGCATTTAGAGATGTGGCCAACGCTACTAATACCTGAAACTGTAGATGGCGACATCGAGACCGAAAGATTGATAGTACCTACAAAATCACGGCAAGCGTGAGCCTAGTAGAAAAACTGTGCCACTTCCCCGACCGGATAAAAATGTTAAGAGCCGTGGTCTAATGGACACAATACAAGGTACTCTCATTGATTTTGAAAGGCACACGGTCATAGAACACAATAAATGTGGGGACGATACTACCGGGCGAGTTGAACCAAGCCGAACTCGATGTTCTACGCCTACTACAACTAGACACCTTCCCGTTCGAGACCCGCGAGCTAGCCAGGATAAGTGATAACACCAAGGGAAGCAGGCTGTTTTGCAGCAGTATCTGAGAACTGAACCCTGTGTGGGCCAATGGACTACTGAGAGCTGTAGGGCGGCTGGCGAATTCAGATCTAGAGTACGAAACAAAATACCCCATAATAATTCCTGGTGAACACTACATAACGAGATGCCTGATAGACCATGTACATCGAGAAGAGGGACATGCAGGTTTGAACTACTCATTGAACAATATACGTCGACGATTTTGCGTGGCAAAGGGACCAGCCACAGTCAAGCGGATCATAGGGAACTGCATCACTTGTCGTAGCCGGAGGGCGGTAGCAGGCCAACAAATGGTGGCCTCCCTCCAGCCGTGAGAGTCCAGCCGGGATGGTGTCCGTTGGTGGAATTTGGCGCCGATTACTTTGGCCCGTTACTTGTACGACAACGAAGAAGCGCGCAAAGGAGGTATGGCTGCCTGATAACATGCTTACAATCCAGAGAAGTCCATCTTGAAGTAGTGCTTAATGTGACCACCGATCCATTTCCAATGGCCTTTCAAAGGTTCATCGCGGGGCGGGGCGTCTACAAGAACGTATACTCAGACAATGGCCCGAACTTCATTGGAGCTCATAAGAAGTTGGAGAAAGGGTGGAACGGCCTGGACCACGCTAAAATAAAAAACAAGACAGCAGCAAACGGGATAGAATGGCAATTCAATCCAACTTATGCCAGTCATCGCGGTAGCGTTTGGGAGAAGCCACTACGATCGACTACGAAAATACCCACAGCCCTGAGCTTACAACAAAACCTCGATGACGAGACGCGGACTACTTTACTAACAGAAGTAGAACGCATACTGAACAACGGACCCCTGTGGCCCATTGTCCCAGACCCGGAAGGCGAACCGGCTCTCACTCCCAATGACCTGTTGTCAATGCGGTAAAACGTAGGAGCAATCACACCGAAGACCCTACGTATAACGTACATCATAGGATGGAAACAAGCGGGCCACCTGGCACGGGCTTTCTGGAGACGTTGGACGAGGGAGTACTCACCGACACTGCAGCTTCGGCAAAAGTGGATCTCCAAAGAGAGATCATTCAGGCGTGGCGACGTGGTCATCCTCGTGGAGAGCCACTAACATAAGGACGAATGGCCGATTGGAGTGATCAAGGACTGCCATACAGAAATTGATGGCCTCGTGAGCACGGCGGTGGTGAGAACGAACAAAGGAGACGTATTGCGGGATATTCGTGCGATATGTCTGCTTGAAGGTGACAATGGCGAGGGCGAAGCTGACGTTACAGACCAAGCTGAAACCAAGTCTGCTGATACCAAGTTAGGCCGAATTTATTTATTTACTCCCCATGAGTCCTCCCGCAGGTCCCAACCTTGACATCATCTTTGAAGCACATTTGTGTCTAATTTCATACGGTGTTCAAGATTTACAATGGAGTAAGTTGTCGAAAACATAGTTCGTCAAGCGACACGACATTGTTTGTGAAGTAGCGGAAACTCTTGAACAAGCACTTGTTGACCGTTTGTAGAAACATTTCTTTTTACGGGACCTCCTATTTGTATTATTATTCAACCTGTGTCCAAGTGGGTATAAACTGTGAGTCAAACATACTTATAATGTGATAACACCAGACGTTGAGCCCCTGATGTTCGAGTGCCTGTAGCCATCTCGATTTTTCATCAAGAGTTCCCAGTCTTCATCTTGCCGCGTATTTTACTCTTGTTCGAACAGCCTTTTCCTCCACATTTCGCAATCTGTCTACGCATCTCAATCATATCGAAGTCCTTTTTATACGGATAATGCCATATCATTCTCAGAAGAAACTCTAAGACGTCGAGAGACGGAGCGTAACCCCAAGAAACCTGCAGGCGTGTCTGCGACTGGCCAACGATAGATGAAGCCCATAGTGATCTACGTATCCACTGACCTAGGATATAGGTAGGTTCGGGCGAATCAGTACCCCTTTTTACTCCTCGGATGTTGACCGTTTCATGGGAGGATTTGGTGGGCGGTGTAACGTACATGCGTGGAAATCCTTCCTAGCCGTTGTCATATACTTGTATTGTTGAGACTAGGCTCTTTTTCCTACTGACCCTCGAACAAGTACAACATGCATCAATCACTACGCTTCAACATTTGTTTATATTTTGCTCACGTGAAGTGACAATTTGATTCGAACTTGTGTAACGGCCAGATTGGAGGCCGCCATCTTGTTGTTCGTTTAATGTAAGTGTTGGTGCCGTTGATACACTTACTGGGCCTCGGCTCATGAAGTTTGTCCCTTTTGTGCTTTTGCAGATCACACGTGCTACCCTCGTCGGAAGAGCATTGCCCCTGCCTGTTACATTTTTGGCACCCACGGCGGGACCGCATTGAGGGGAGTGGGAGGCCTAGAAGATAGACCTGATATGGGCCGAGGAGATAATTGTGAAGTGATCTGAGGCGTAGATTTGGTGTGGCCCAGGAGAGGTCTTGTGGTATGGCCTACCCAAGGTGTGGTTCCCGGAGAGCTAAGGCTCCTGTAGTGTGTTGGAATACGGAACACTGGGGGCAGTGTTCTTTTGTGGGGGGAGCAGTGTAACGGCCAGATTGGAGGCCGCCATCTTGTTGTTCGTTTAATGTAAGTGTTGGTGCCGTTGATACACTTACTGGGCCTCGGCTCATGAAGTTTTTCCCTTTTGTGCTTTTGCAGATCACACGTGCTACCCTCGTCGGAAGAGCATTGCCCCTGCCTGTTACACTTGGACTGCCGTGACGGTGGTACCTGACATTGGCCTTTGTTGGACTCTGGTCCTCGTTGTTAGACATTGCGGCTGTACAGTTGAGGTTTGTACATATTTATTTGCGTATAACTTGTTATTCCAGTATCGTAGAAACTACGAATCAATCTCGTTCTGGTTTTGGAATTCGTCTTTGAATGGGGTTACGCGTTACTCACAGTCGGATTAACCGTTATACGGTGTACCCGTCGATAGCTTCTCTAGCTCAGCCTCGATATTAATGAGTCAGTTAGAGAAGCCCTTGCCCGGGGTCGGTCATCTTGTTTTCGACAGACTTTTCGAACTGCCTGATGAACTTGCAGTAGTGTTCAGATCGTCCTCAGGAAACTGTCAGCTCCATTCTTGGCAGATCGATGGTGGCTGGCGTGGATGTCTTATATTCGAAAACCGGCGCAGAGTTTTCTATTTTATTTGTCCTAATATGTCAGGTAGTCCGTGGTCGTTGGTGTTCTGCTCGCATTCTTTCCCTCTACACTATTCTTCTCCTTCCTGGGTCTGTTGCCAAGAATATAACAGTTGTTGTTCTGTGTCTAATATCCTTAGCCTAAAAAGATCGGTATTCTCACAATTCATATAACCCTTAGTAATGCATGAGCTAGTATTGACAGGACTAGGTGACCTGGTAAGAACAAGAGGATCAAAAGTACACAAAACCTCACCGATGACTTGCTGTATTACTTCCTATTCAGACTGCAATTGCTTCGATTTATTCCTCAGTTTGTTGCGTATTTTCTCGCTACAAATTGATCAGTTGAGTATTGTAAGACACAATCTATACGTAGCCAAATTAGCAACGGATCCCGAAACCAGAAGCAGATTATCCGCGAAATTCTGCAATACTAGAATAACAAATGAAGAATGACACGAAACAGATACAAACTTCAATTATGCGATCACAGACTCAAAAAACGAAAACCACATTTTGGCGTGCAAGAAGAGAGCACGTGTGTCACGCAGGTCTAGAACAAGGATATGACGGGCAGCGCGCTGGACGAGAACAAACGTACGTTGGTTCGTAAGAACATACAGAGCATAAAGCAAGTCAATAGTGTAAATGAGTGAGTGATGCAGTGGTTTTCGGGAAACGTTTTACGACCGGTCGTTACAGTGACTGGGAGATGGCCAGACCCAAATGAACAGCACAAGTTGGAAGAGTATAAATATAATGTTTTTTGTATACATGATAAAAGGGTCAATAACTACCTTGTGATCGGCCACAGGTGGTTAGTGTTTTGATTCACGTGGGCCTTGGTTGCTGCTGACGGCATCTGGCGAGTGGCGGGGGTGGCGGCCAGGTTGAAGAAATAGGAAGAGCGGGTCGGAAACGCAGTGGCCAGGGCTAGATCCTGGTCGTTGATTTCGTACTGCAACGCAGGATTGATTTGACTGTTTGTATGGGGTACGGAAAATATATGTTGAGCGGCTGTGGGGTAACAGTGAGCGTCAGGACTCCATTCTGCGATCCGGTGAGACTTTCATGAGGAATTTTTACTCCCTTTATGGTAACATGATCACTGCTCAGCCATGTAAGGTGCCCCATATAGCGTCAGCAGGCTTGAGTATAGGTTTAAACCATAGTCCTTCCGATTTATCAGATCTCTCAGTCGGTACGGTAATCCGGGTGTACCACCTAGTTAGCTGATGGCTACTTAGGTAACCAGTATGATTTGAAAAGATCAGGAGTTGGCAGTCTGGAGAATGTTCCAGCTGTGGGTTATGGCTATTGTTCTATTAGAAATCAGAGAATGATCATTTTGTTGCCTGACTGCTAGTGGGCCAATCTATAGGGAATCAACGGATGGAGACTGATAGCTTTGTAGGGTAGTCGGATGATAATAGAGATATAGAGAGATATTGTAGCAAGCTCGGCCGGAGCGCAAAATAATTTAGTTGGTACTTGGTGTATGAGGAGAAGGGGTCCGTTTTGGCCACCAGGAATAAGGCAGCAAAAACAATAAAATAGAAGGGGGTGGGATCAAAAGAGGAATCGTAAGGAAGGACGTTGCCAGTCTGGTCGTTGTGCCGTCTGTCGTCAGTGACTGCAAAATTATGAAAGGGAAAGAAAATACTCAGAATTAAGGTGGGTCCTTTTCATGTGGAAGCGAAAGGGCCGGTTTTCCATGGTATCGTGAGAATCAGAAGCTTGCGGATTCCGAGTTGAACGGGGTCTTAATTACCATGAGAATATGCACAGGTCAGTCAGTCTTGGTTACTGAAGAAAGGTAATCTGCAAGGTAAGATTCAAGTTTACTTAAAAAGCGCAAGAAAAGCACTATGAGACCGCTGAGTTACTGACTGAGACTGGAAGGTTAAGTGAAGGTGAGCACTGTGACGACCGGTTGTGAAAACTTTCCCGAAAACCGCTGCAGTTCCATGTTTCCCTAACATCACCCTCTCATCTACACTATTGACTTGCTTTATGCTCTGTATGTTCTTACGAACCAACGTACGTTTGTTCTCGTCCAGCGCGCTGCCCGCCATATCCTTGTTCTAGACCTGCGTGACACACGTGCTCTCTTCTTGCACGCCAAAATGTGGTTTTCGTTTTTTGAGTCTGTGATCGCATAATTGAAGTTTGTATCTGTTTCGTGTCATTCTTCATTTGTTATTCTAGTATTGCAGAATTTCGCGGATAATCTGCTTCTGGTTTTGGGATCCGTTGCGAATTTGGCTACGTATTGTTCCTCGGTTTCTTACGAGCACCTATCATTTTAGGCCGAAGCTGTCTGGTAAGGAAGCTGGTGTCAGTAGGCATTTTGTTTGTGTAATTGGATCAACAAATTAGCAGACTAACCACCGCTGACTTTGGACATCACTACTGGTGCCTTATCTCAAGCAGAACGTACAAAATGTGTAGGTGTTGATGATGAACTATAAATTGCGACGAATGCGTTCTAATTCCTACAACCTATGCAGGCGAGGTTCAATCTACAGCTTAGAACCATAGGTGTATTAATACCGGGGTGGGGTCAGAGCAGAGGAAACATAATATAACTATTCCAATGGTGTGCTGGCTACTGCATTAAATACCGGCAGGCTGGTTAAGGATTTTGGAGGGAACCCAAAATGGCTGAAACTGAGAAGGACGGGGTCAGCGAGCGTGGGTGGGGTGCTCGGGTGGCGTGCTATCACCCCGAGCCGGTTTTGACAAAAAGAACCGGAATTACCTCAAAATTTGGGGTTTCCCATGGGCAGGGTCGGGTCTAAGCAGTTATTAGAAATCCATCTGTTATGAAAGAGGCAGGGAGGGTGAGCCCAAGACCGTCTCAGCCAAGAGTGTTTTTTATTCTTTACAGAGGAGAGAGGGAGCAAATGTACACCATAGGGTGAACTCTTCACTCCTCCTTCACCCGCCTTTTTTCACTCGTGGCCCATTGGGTCCGAGACTGCCAGGGATGGCTGTTTCCCCTCTTTGCGAGTCTTTCACTGTCTAGACGCCAAAACCTTCAGGGAAGTTGCAGCGGCAAGCTGTGAAAGGAAATGTTAGAGGATGGAACAAGCACTCAGGTTGTGACAACGTTCGCGGGGCTATCAGTTGAGGGCTTGGTGCTGCCTATAGCAGATTCGGATGTGTTCCAGTATATATGCGAACCATCTAGTGACCGCATCGACAACTGTGATACGCTGGGTATGACAACGTTGGTGAAAACCCATCACCACTGCTATAGCAGAGGTTGGCCGCCGGCTATCAGTGAATCATTGGGTGATTGACGCAGGTAAATCAATGAGCTTTAGGCTAAAGTCGCAGATTGAAGATGAGAACTGAAGAATCGTTAACATCACAGGATTTAGTGAACCAGTAAGTAGTAAATTAAAGGGACGATTGTTTCTACAGGAATTTGATTATAGTTTACCATGAAACAACATCTTGGCCAGTTGCATGTGAGTAATGTGTAGAAAAATGAGGCGCAGCATGAAGAACTAATTGATGATGAAGAACTATTTCAAACCCGCGATTCCAGGCATATTTGGGAGTCAAATTTAGGTGACGTCTACCGAATAGGCACTGTTCTGACGGAGCTTTGAAAAAGTTTCTCCGATTGTGTGCTAGGTTTACGTATGCAGATTAGAGTGTATTACGGCAGGGTCTGATGAAAAAGAGAAGAAAACTGAGTAGACGAATATAAAGAAGCGAGGAATTAGTGATCGTGCCGTGACTATGAAAAAAACGACAATAGGATTGACGGAGATGGAAAATTAATTGTTGCCAGATTCAGCAAAACAGATGAAGGTAGAACAGAATTACCGGACCGCAGGAAAAACCATCCTGTGAGAAAACGTGACAAAAGAAACTAAAAGTTAGAGCATGGCAAAAAATGCCGTAATAACTAGGGTTGGGTTCACTTAGTGAAGCACATTTAGGAAACGTTACAGGACGGTGCTTGTCGGACGTGGCCCAGAGAGAAGCAAAAAGGTAGCTGGAATGATCAAAATTCAAAGAGAAACAAAGTGAATGGTTGAGCAAAGACAGAAAAAAGGAAACAAGCTGACTGCGGCTACGGCCCGAAAGATAAGGAGGTACCTAAACAAGGGAGTTCAAAGGCTGTTAGAAATCTATTCCAACTTCGAAGGCACTTTCATCACTTATGTAGGGATCTGTTAGATGGATTATAGTGTTTACGGTGAGGTATTTGCTTATGCGGGTTTTCAGTGTCCCAGGTGGTCTTGTAGAAATTACATTGAGTTGTAATTTATTCCATAAAGCTGCATGCTTACCAGGAAAAATTTGGATCTAAGAGCAACTCCAGAAATAGAAACGGTAACTGCTTTGACCTTCAGTTTTAAAGAATTCTCTGAATCCGCTGAGTTTCTGAACTGCAGTGCTTATACGATGATTTTATTTGCAACAACTCCATGGAAGAATATGAGGTTCGGCCTTATGCGTCTAAGCTGTGGCAAATATAGTAACAAATGTTCACAGCGGAGAAGCCAATTAATTCTTCTGTCATTAGCCTTTGAACTTTTTCAATAGATACCTTATCTCACTAGCGCATGTTGGAATAGAATATAGAACAGTATTCCATAAGTGGCCCAACGTGTTGAAACATTCGCCTTCCGAAGGTGGAACTTTCTATGAAACAGGCTTCTCATTCTTCTAGCCTTCGCAATTTGAGTTGTTGTGTATTCTGAGAGAATGAAGGTGTTTGAATACTACAAACCTAACTCTCGTATCAACGGGGGATAGCAATTGGATGACCGTCGTACTAAATATATTGGGGGAAAATAAACCTGAAGGTAATAATATTGCTTTCCCCCGCGGGAAGTTTCATTAGTGAACCAGTGCACCAAGAACAGAGAGTCTTTAGATCTTGCGGCATACCACTGGCGACGAGGATAAACATTCTGGAATCAAAGTCATACAAGAGGTGGAGACTGCCATTGAGAGAGACATAAGAAACCTCATTTGTGCATACGGGGAAGAGTAATG